TAATGAAGATACACGAGTTTTATTTATTTTTATCTCTTACTTACGAATAGTCATACTTGGGGTAGGGCGCTGAGGAAAAGTTTAATTGAAAAAGGGCGCTGTGACTAGGAAAAGTTTGAGAACCACTGTCTTATGTGATGAAAGACTGATAGATTAATTTTCCCATGATAATATGAGTAGACCTTACATTTCCATTTAATTTCGCATAGCTCTGCTTCCCAAAAGAAGACCAAGGTGAGGTATAAACTGCAACGCGCTCCAGCCTGGATAAGAATATATTTTGGGAAGCAATGCTATTTAGAATTCAATGGAAATAAACGGCCTGCTAATATGATTGTGGTAAAATGTAACTACTCTTCCTTCATCACCTTAACGATATAGGCTGAATGTATCTCATAAATGCGATCTAGGGATAGCCTCGAAAATCTGGTTATAAAAAGAAAAATAGGGCAAACACAGTTCTGAAAGTTGTATTTTGCCATTTCAATAGCCTATACTACTCACATCAAGAAAAAGTAGTATGTACGCAAATAGCTTTTTTGAAATTTAATTGAAACCTGAGGCATATTGATATGATTTTTTGGAACTATTCTTCATTATATGCCACCTATGTTGATTGGAAATCTTATTAGATACTTATAGAAAATAGCGATACCATCTTTATATGAAAATTTTAGAGGAATCGTTTGCTGCATTCGTAAAATTGGGCTAAGTAAGGCGCGTGTAATTAAATGAAAATTTCTGATTGTATAAACGTCAGAATAGACTCACCTGAATCCTTTAATTTGGTCTTTCTCGTCGCGAATGCAGGCAAAGTCTTTGCAAATGCCCAACGACTCTAGTTTTGTGCAAGGATCAAACGGAAGCTCGCAGAATTCCCCAGTAAAAGCTGCTGGGCAGTCGCAAATCACTCCTTCATTTCCGGCCTTCGAGCTTAGGCATTTGCCTCCATTGGCGCATGTAGTTGAGGCGCAAAATTCATGTTTACCCTCGAAGCAGACTTTTTCCTCAGGACTGTACTGTTTTCGGAAGGCATGGATTATAAAATGGCATCAAAGCAAGTGTAGTACCAAACGAGAGATTAAAAGGGATGGGGCGCATCAGCAGCTAGTCTCGGGTCTTGTAGCATGAACTAGAAGTTTGCAAAGCGAACATTATCAAGACAACTGGCTTCATCGTCTTGATGAAGAGAATGCATGGCCACCAGTTTTGTGGTTGTAGCATTCAATAATTGACTAAATACAGATTGGTAATGACAATAGTCGAATGACTAATCCGAGAGCCGTAATTCAATCAAATCCAACCATCATTTTATTCACTCACGCTGCAGGCATTAAAAAAATTGTCCAGCCAACAAAAGTATTGAATAAAGGAGTTGACATTTTCCAAGAAATAATTAGTCTACAATCTTATGAAAGTAGTACCAACATCGGGAATTTAGACATTTGGTGCTGGATGAGCCGAATAAAGACTCAAAATATCGGCGTCATCAGTCCACTTTGGACAGGGGCATGCATTAAATTTCGAAGTTTAGCATCGAAAGCAAGCCTATTGTCGACATTTTTCAGGGTCCCAATGACTGGAAATAGCTAAAAGATGCAACTGTTCACTCGCAAAATAACTCGATTCTATAAACGTCAAATCACAACCAACGTTATTCATTACGGAAGTACATTTGGAGTGGTGTCTTATGCCTAGAAGGCTTTGACCACGGGTACTTGAAGATTACCGGCAATAAGCTCAATTTCGAGTATCAATGGCCTAATCGTATGTGGTTGCCGAGGCTTTCGGCTCAAATGACGTTGTAATTGCAAATCGTCCTAAATAGGAAAAATAGACATTTCTCTTTGAATTTACTAAAAATATCCACCATTGTTTCGGCGACTTTCATTTAGTATGAAGGTGCATGATGAAGCGATTGCAACATCAATCTCACCAGAAGACGACAGCCGATTCTTGTGGTTCTGCAGCCGTTTGGCTTTATTGCAACAATCACGTTGACACTGTCCTAAAGACATACTTAATTGTTTTGCGTCAAAATGGATTGAGCATTCCCACTTCATTTGGCCAACATCGTCACAACTGGGACCCGTTATTGAAAAAGTATCAAGTTAATTTCTGGTCAAGAAGACTGTCCAACTGTCAACTGAAAAACTAAAATTTATAGACATAGATGGATTGGTATAGAATGAGGTGTCTACTTTCCTTTCATATAGGTCATATTTCTTTCACATAAGTGTGTCTATCAATATGTGTGTGTGTATGTGTATGTGTGTGTAAGCATTACCGATCATAAATCAGAGTAATTATAAAATATGTTGGAAACTTTTGATTTCGAAAGTTAGTCTCATAGAAAGTCAAAGGCAATTCAGCGAAAAAATCATCGGAAAATCGTCTCACGATCCCGAGGAATATTCATATTTGACCTTGGTCAATTATCGTATAGCATAGAAGTTGTTTGACCTTATTTTCGCAACGTGGTCATGTTGGTGGGAAGACGTAGAGGAATGCACCTTGTCCTGAGTCCATTGTATGCATCATTATTTCCAAAGTCGGACTGTGGACTTGGTACATTTCCAGACGTCTCGCCGGCATCGTAGTTGGCATCATCAGTAAGTTTTACCATTCATAGCACCATATTACAACTCGTCAAAAACACAACTGATTAAAACACGTTTGGTGAAAGGATCGGCTTCACTTGTCTCTTTGACAAGTTGTAGCTTGGTTGCTAAGAGTGGCGAAACGTCTGAGAATGTACCACATCCAAGGTCCGACTTTGGAAATGACCATGAATGCAATGGACTCAAAACAAGGTGCCGTCCTCTAAGTCATCCTACCAAAATGGCCAAGTTGTGAAAACAAGGTCAAACAACTTCTGTACAACGAAAGGAGACTGCGACCACACAAAAGGCAACA